CAATACGCTATTTCACCTATATCACTTTTGATAGATAATAATATTATTCTCATGGTAAAAATAAAATTTTATTGATTACAAGAATTGAGCTCTTATTAAAAAGATTGTATGTTATAATAATTACCTACACATACGACGTAAAAACATTGATAACTCTAGAAAAATGTATTGTATAATATTGATGTTTTAATTTTTTTTTTTTTTTTTTTATTGAAAAAAAGTATATTTCTGAACAATATTTACATTAAATCAATTATTACAATGCTTTAAAACTGTTATTAACGCATTCCTACTTTTAATAAGTGAAGATATACAGTATAGGCGTATAACACTGTGCAGCTCCTGTGATAGTAACACAGGCAGTTGTCTCGGGGCGTTAAGTTTTTTTAGAGACTCATAACACTGTTTTAGGCTAACTAATGAATGGCCTTTATAAAAAATAAAATAAAAAAACTTATATACTCATTACTGATTACCGCATTTCTTCTATGACTTTTTCTTTCATACTTAACCAGCATAATCTATTTTAGATCTTTGAAAGTTTGAAATACTTCCTGGGTTGTTCTACTTTATTTATTACATATAAGTGGGAAACTTATATCAATGGTGGGAGGTGGCTATCAGTATTTATATAATTATCGATTATCTCTTCCATATGCTCCACGAACTAAGTTCGTGATATGCCCATATTCCTAAGATAATAAGGATATGGATAGGCCACATCTATGTTAGTATACTTGAAGCCGTGTTCCAGGAGAAGAAGTAAAATGTCTATGGTTTAAGAGGAGGTAATTGAGGCTCTCTTATCACATTAATGAAGGATGATATTATGATGAGGCCTCAAGTTCCTATATTTAGGAACGCGGATATTAACGAATAGCCCATCCATATTTTTATTATCTATGCCATATTCATAAATTAGGGTTGCCACTTCGGAAGATAACAGATTCGGAGTAGGCCATTAAGCCAAAAATAGGTTATCAGCATAAGATTCTGTGCTTATACACCCACATATTATTATGTATAGCTAAATTTACAAAGTGAAAAGATAGGTATTGAAATTAAAAAAAAAAATTAATACAATCATACATTTTATTATTAAAAAATTCGACTGTGAGGTTGAAACTAAAGTCAGATTCGTAATGATAGTCAGTAAACCGTAGTTCGTAATCTTATAATGTTGTATATAATAAATAGTATAAATTAAATCATTGATGTATAGTGACATAATCGTATCTTATCTTTTAGTATATGAAAATCATTGTTCTCATTGTTTATTGATAAACTTTTTACAATTATATAAATAGTATTAATTTTACAATGACCACGACCCGTAGAATAATTCATTGAACCTGTAGTTCGTAGATTTATGTGTAAAACCGGATTATCCGCGAGAAACCAGGAGAAGTGACATTTATATACAAAGAAAATTACCTTTATGAAATCACTACATTGTTTATAAATTATAATATAATATTTCCGTGCCTTTTGCCATAGTCGCTCTTTTAATGACATTTAGCGCATGGCGATAATGTACGATTTGTCCAACAAGTTTTATTCATTTCACCAATTTTTTTGTTTTTTTTACATTCTTCTCTTTTCCAAAACATTTCAATTACATCTGATAAATCGATATCGTGTTCCGTCCATGTGAACACACAGCTGTTTCCTACAAGTATAGATCAAACAGATTAACCTTAAATATATTAGTACACATAATCTCCCAATATGTGCCCACTCCAATTAATATTTATCTTTTTTTCCGCGTGCATGCCTAGTCAGATAATCATAATCGGGTACAAATATTTTTAATTCGTTACACGTATTGGTTGGTTAACATTCAGTTAAGGCTCTGTCAAAGAGAACGCGTTTTTCACACACTTGAAACCAGTATTAACTTCACATTATAGATCGTCTGCGTTGTATTTAAATACAGATTATATAATTATATAAGCTGTTAAACATGGCAACCAGCTAGTCACTCGTCAGCGGCGCTATAACGCTACGTTGTACAAAACTACTAAGTCACAAGACGAATATACCATGACGTCAATAACACGTTCTGTTTGACAGAGCTTTAATATTTTATAACCCTATAAGATACCACTAACGTTTGCGTTACTTGCCTAGTTACCTGGAAAAAATTTACCCGTAATCATAATATTTTACTGATTTTATATTCCGCGTTGTGCTTACTTTCTGACACGCCTGAAATAGGCGAGTTTACCCTTTTTCGTGGCAAATTAAATTTTTTCATTGTTTCCTTGGAAATAAAATTACTATTTAATACATATATCAATTGCGCTCTAAATATTTAAAAGTCAATAGACCAATTGGGCTCTATATATTTTAGGGTCAATAGACCAATCGCGCTTTGAACATTTTAAAATTCTTAACGAAAACTTAATAGTTAATTATAATTATATAATAAATTAATACACACATCGATAGTTTTGCGAATATAAATACATGATATAATAAAAATAAATAAATATAGTCAATTATTAGAAATTAAAGTTATATCAGTTACAAAATAATTCACATTTAAACTATTTTACTTTTCAAACTAATACTAAATAACAAGATATAAGTAACGGCTATAAATCAATGTGTTATCCTATAAAGTATATAGTATAGTAGGTACCTATATAATGTGCGACAAAACAATATTAGGCTGGTAAATATTCAACGATAATGAAAACTTATTTCACCTATCACTCAAATTCATACTTGTACGATGAAATAAGCGTAATTATAATAATAATGTTTCATAAAATTCCCAATACTGTTATAAACTATATTATAACCAGTCACTTAAATCAGTAATCAATTGATCAATAAATTAATGTTTAGTTTTTAAGCATTCTTGTGTGTAGATTGTTTATGTCGATGTTGATGGAATTAGATTAAACAATAATATTTTCACAATTGGTACACTGGCCCTAAAATATAAGGAGCACAATCGGTATATGACCTTAAAATATAAGGAG